CTTCGGCGTGAGGTGGAAAAGGCCAAACGGGCCCTGTCTTCTCAACATCAAGCAAGAATTGAAATTGAGTCCTTCTATGAAGGAGAAGACTTTTCTGAGACCCTGACTCGGGCCAAATTTGAAGAGCTCAACATGGTATGTCCCTTGTTTTCTGCTTTAGACTCTGAATTCAGGACATTGCATCTAGATACTTAGATAACAGACATCGCGGTAACCATGTCTTTTTTTTCTAGGATCTGTTCCGGTCTACTATGAAGCCCGTCCAGAAAGTGCTGGAAGATTCTGATTTGAAGAAGTCTGATATTGATGAAATTGTTCTTGTTGGTGGCTCGACTCGAATTCCAAAGATTCAGCAACTGGTTAAAGAGTTCTTCAATGGCAAGGAACCATCCCGTGGCATAAACCCAGATGAAGCTGTAGCATATGGTGCTGCTGTCCAGGCTGGTGTGCTCTCTGGTGATCAAGATACAGGTAGGTCACGATCGCGGCATCTTTCATAGTGATTCAGTAGCTTGATGGAAGACTCATCAGCTATTGCTTTAGAAAATACCAGAATATGAGCAACAAGGTCACACATGTAGTAAAGGGTGTAAGTGAAGACAAGACTGGGTAGTCTCAAGATCATTAGCAACTGTTTAATTCACTGCCTTTAAGATGTGTGTTAGAACCTAACCAAATGCTAGAGACACAAACTTTACATAGCTCATAGGGAGAACTTGAATTGGAAGTTAAATAACTTATCCTTACAGGTGACCTGGTACTGCTTGATGTGTGTCCCCTTACACTTGGCATTGAAACTGTGGGAGGTGTCATGACCAAACTGATTCCAAGGAACACAGTGGTGCCTACCAAGAAGTCTCAGATCTTTTCTACAGCTTCTGATAATCAACCAACTGTTACAATCAAGGTCTATGAAGGTAATTACTTAAGTTTGCTAATATGGCTTTTTTTTTTTTTTTTTGAGATGAAGTTTTGCTCTGTTGCCCTGGCTGGACTGCAGTGGCATGATCTCCGCTCACTGCAACCTCCGTCTCCCGGGTTCAAGTGATTCCTGCCTCAGCCTCCAGAGTAGCTGGGATTACAGGCATGGACCACCATGCTTGGCTAATTTCTGTAGTTTTAGTAGAGATGGGTTTCACCATGTTGCCCAGGCTGGTCTCCAACTCCTGACCTCAGGTCATCTGCCTGCCTCTGCCTCCCAAAGTACTGAGATTACAGGTGTGAGCCACCGCGCCAGGTCTATCTATCATGGCATGTTTTAAAAGAACATGACTTAATATGATCTATTGAAATGGCAAGGGAACTAAGTAACTGCTGTTTTCAGATGGGGGTCTTAATTTGAATAATGTTTTATATCTAGATATTTAGCTTTTTTTTTTTGAGATGGAGTCTCTGTCGCCTAGGCTGGGGTGTAGTGGCATGACCTGCAACCTCTACCTCCCGAGTAGCTGGGATTACAGGTGCCCACCACCATGCCAGGCTAATTTTTGTATTGTTAGTAGAGGCAGGGTTTTGCCATGTTGGCCAGGCTGGTCTTGAACTCCTAACCTCAGGTGATCCACTGACCTCAGCCTCCCGAAGTGCTGGGATTATTACAAGTGTGAGCCACTGTGCCCAGCCTATGTTTAGCATTCTTAATAGTAACATCTGAGCTGGCTCCTAGAGTACAAGAAAAAGGAGTTCACAGTACTTTAAAATAGATAAAATTCAGTTGAGTTAGTAACCTAACTCACTGTTAGTACTAGTTGCTGCTCCCTGTAGACCAGTATGAAATTACTTTTAGCTCGATAAAACCAAAAGTGTCTAGATGTGCTAATGCTTGTCAGTAACAACTAATGAGTTTTTCTATATGTAACTTCTAGGTGAACGACCCCTGACAAAAGACAATCATCTTCTGGGTACATTTGATCTGACTGGAATTCCTCCTGCTCCTCGTGGGGTCCCACAGATTGAAGTCACCTTTGAGATAGATGTGAATGGTATTCTTCGAGTGACAGCTGAAGACAAGGGTACAGGGAACAAAAATAAGATCACAATTACCAATGACCAGAATCGCCTGACACCTGAAGAAATCGAAAGGATGGTTAATGATGCTGAGAAGTTTGCTGAGGAAGACAAAAAGCTCAAGGAGCGCATTGATACTAGAAATGAGTTGGAAAGCTATGCCTATTCTCTAAAGAATCAGATCGGAGATAAAGAAAAGCTGGGAGGTAAACTTTCCTCTGAAGATAAGGAGACCATGGAAAAAGCTGTAGAAGAAAAGATTGAATGGCTGGAAAGCCACCAAGATGCTGACATTGAAGACTTCAAAGCTAAGAAGAAGGAACTGGAAGAAATTGTTCAGCCAATTATCAGCAAACTCTATGGAAGTGCAGGCCCTCCCCCAACTGGTGAAGAAGATACAGCAGAAAAAGATGAGTTGTAGATACTGATCTACTAGTGCTGTAATATTGTAAATACTGGACTCAGGAACTTTGTTAGGAAAAAATTGAGAGAACTTAAGTCTCGAATGTAATTGGAATCTTCACCTCAGAGTGGAGTTGAAAATGATATAGCCCAAGCGGCTGTTTACTGCTTTTCATTAGCAGTTGCTCACATGTCTTTGGGTGGGGGGGGAGAAGAAGAATTGGCCATCTTAAAAAGTGGGTAAAAAACCTGGGTTAGGGTGTGTGTTCACCTTCAAAATGTTCTATTTAACAATTGGGTCATGTGCATCTGGTGTAGGAAGTTTTTTCTACCATAAGTGACACCAATAAATGTTTGTTATTTACACTGGTCTAATGTTTGTGCAAAGCTGCTAATTAGATCAATTATTTATTTTAGGAAATTTAAGGCTAGATTCTTGTGTGTGGGGTGAGGGGAGGGAGTGTTTGGTATGTTGGGATAAGGAAACACTTCTATTTAATGCTTCCAGATAATTTGCTGCTTTTTTTTTTTTTCACCCTCCTGGGTAAAAAAACCCAAGTGATCCATCCACCTCAGTCTCCAGCTAATCAAGACTACAGGCTTGTTAGCACCATGCTCGGCTTTTGCATTAATCTAACGAAAAGGGAGAGAAGTTAATCCACATCTTTACTTAGGCAAGGGGCATTTCACAGTGCCCAAGAGTGGGGTTTTCTTGACCATACTTGGTTTCCTATTTCCCCTTTCTAAAACTGCGTTTCTGGTGGCTTTTTAAAATTATTATTAATGATGCTTTTATAGCTGCTTGGATTCTCTGAGAAATGATGGGGAATGAGTGATCACTGGCGTGACTAACTTGATACACTTGGATTTAATCTGTAGCTTCAGGATGTACAGGTATATTGTGAACCCCTAGCTGTCAGAATCTCCATCCTTGACATTTTTCATTAGTGGTACTGGGGTGGGAGCTAGGATGGTGACATTGAAACTCCACTACATCCCCTCACTGTGAATGGGTTCAAGGCAGTGGTTTGTGTCAAAACCGGTTTATTACTTAGATTGCCCTCCTGAAGAAGAGAGTCCAGGTAAATAGTATTATCAATAAAGGGCAGGCTGGTGCTAACATAAAATCCAATATTGTAATCCTAGCACTTTAGGAGGCCGAGGCGGGTGGATCACGAGGTCAATCGAGAGAGAGACCATCTTGCCAACAATGGTGAAACCCCATCTCTACTGAAAATACAAAAATTAGCAGGGCGTGGGTGGTGCAAGCCGAAGGCTGAGGCAGGAGAATCACTTGAACTCGGGAGGCAGAGGTTGCAGTGAGCCAAGATCACACCACTGCACTCCAGCCGCGGACAAGAGTGAGACTCCATCTCAAAAAAAAAAAAAAAAAAAAAAAAAAATGCAATATTGCCCAAGGATAGGTATTTTATAGATGGTGCAACTGGGCTGAAAGGTTAATTGTCTAGGGCTTAGTGGAACTGGTTCCCAACCAACCTCTTAATCAGATTAGGCTTCTGCTGCACTGCCCCAAAAGCGTTTGGGGCAGCTCGCCTGAGCAGAGACTGGTCTCAGGCCAAGCCAATACAGCCATTTAAAGATGACCTGCAGTGCTGGTTGTACCCTGGGGCCATAGGGTTTTAAACGGTAGCAACTAGGCTATGTCTTCCCTTTCCTCAAAGGCTGTCACTACTGTGGATCACCTAGTCCTGTATCTCTGAGGAGCTGTTCCGAATGTTAAAAGGATAGACTTCAACTAATGTCTATCTCTGATGTCTATAATTTGTTGTTTACCAATTACATTCTGTAACTTCTTTTAACCCTAACCCTATTGCAACCTTGTGATTAGCATTTAATACACTAATCATACCTACTTAGGTTTGTATTGCTGGTAAAGCCTTTTTTTATATATGTATACATATATATAAAAAATATGTATAGTATATAAAATGTGTTTATATATATTATTTGATGCTTTTATAGCTGCTTTTATATATATGGTATACATATATTTTTAAAAATGCTGCTTTTTATATATATATTATTATTCTTTTTGAGACAGTTTCATTCTTGTCCCCCAGGCCTGGAGTGCAATGATGCGATCTCAGCTCACTGCAACCTCTGCCCCCCGGGTTCAAGCGATTCTCCTGCCTCAGCTCCCAAGTAGCTGGGACTACCGGCATGTGCCACCACGCCCGGCTAATTTTGTGTTTTTAGTAGAGGTGGAGTTTCTCCATGTTGGTACAGGCTGGTCTTGAACTCCTCGGGGCCTCATGTGATCCCACTGCCTCGGCCTCCCAAAGTGCTGGGATTGCAGGCTTCAGCCACCAAGCCTGGCCCAAAGCCTTTCATGTTAATATAGTGGAGGTTTTTGCATTGGGCAAAACTTATCTATCTACTACAGTTTGTAAACCAGTCACTGAAAGTCATTCCCAAGAGCTCTGAGAGGCAATATAGCAAGGTTTAGGGCACATAAGAATTATTTGTATTAGTTTCTTCACCTACCAAAGTAGGAGAAAAACAGATATATACTGCAGAAGATATTTTGGAGGTATAAAATAGCTAAGGTTTTACTTAACTATTCTGAAAGTAACTGACAGGTAATAAAAATATGGGTTTTATTAGTCAACTATAGTCACAATACAATCATCATAGATTTCCCCTTCTGTATTCATCCCACCGAACACCAAACAGAGCAGTGTATCAGTCTGGCCTTCCTCATGTGAGTCGCCACTGTGGCTCATTACTTTGTCAGCTGAATCCCTTTTCTCAGCTTCATGGTTCAGAGTGAGAGAGTTGGAATCTTCTTTCTCAGAAGCACACGTCACTGGCCATGGAATGATACACATGGAATGGTCCAATCGTCCGGGGGGTAGAAAAGAATCAAATTTAAGCAAGGTCCAATGCTGCCTTTCTATGTTGGGGAGGGAAAAGGCTTCATGTTAAGAAATTTCCAGATAGTGAAAGCCAAAATGTGAATAAAAAGTAAAGAATTTTCTAGAAATGCTCAGTGATTTACTGTAGCAGCTGAGTCCTCACAAACAGGAAGTGAAAGGAAAAAAAGAAACCCTCATAGCAGCATTGTTGCTTTAATGATGTCACCCCCTACAGAGTTTTTATTTTTTTGGATTTAGATATAGAAGAACCAAACTGGAAAACCGAAGCACTGCATCACTTTTTTTTTCTCTTTTTTTTTTTTTTTTGAGACTGAGTCTCCCTCTATTGCCCAGGCTGGAGTGTAGTGGTTTGATCTCAGCTCACTACAACCTCCGCTTCCCGGGTTCAAGCAATTCCCCTGCCTCAGCCTCCCAAGTAGCTGGGACTACAGGCGTGTGCCACCATGCCTGGCTAATTTTTTGTATTTTAGTAGAGACGGGGTTTCACCATGTTGGTCAGGATGGTCTCGATCTCCTGACCTCATGATCTGCCTGCCTTGGCCTCCCAAAGTGCTGGGATTACAGGCGTGAGCCACTGTGCCCAGTCACTGCATCACTTTTCAAAGGATGTTTATAGATTTGTTTAAAGATCCCCATGGACACCTGCTCACCTGTGTGATACTGGTACATTGTGTCCAGTGCTCCTGCAGGAGTCATTCCACCAAAGATATACAGGTGATTTCCCACAGCCACAGCTGAGTGGGCAGCACAGCCTGCTGGAGCTGCCCCAGTGGGACTTAGCTTCTGCCATTTCATGTTACCTGCCAAGAGAAAGAAAGAGCTTTGGCACAACATGGGCTAAGATATGCTTTCAAACTTACCTATCTACTGCAGTTTGCAAATCAATCACTGAAAGTAATTGATTCACCAAGAGCTCTGAGAGGTTTAGTGCACATAAGAATTATTTGGGGAACTCTGACATGATTGGGTAGTCCAGGGAGGAAGGGAGGGAGGAGCTCAGTGATTCTCAGAATCTCAGGCGATTCAGATGCAGGCGGTCTTTGGATCACACAGAAATGTGATACAACCTCTATAATAACAGTCGCCTTCAGCTATTCACTATTTTTTTTTCTTTTTTTTTGAGACGGAGTCTCGCTCTGTGGCCCAGGCTGGAGTGCAGTGGCCGGATCTCAGCTCGCTGCAAGCTCCGCCTCCCGGGTTTACCCCATTCTCCTGCCTCAGCCTCCCAAGTAGCTGGGACTAGAGGCGCCCGCCACCTCGCCTGGCTAGTTTTTTGTATTTTTTTAGTAGAGACGAGGTTTCACCGTGTTAGCCAGGATGGTCTCGATCTCCTGACCTCGTGATCCGCCCATCTCAGCCTCCCAAAGTGCTGGGATTACAGGCTTGAGCCACCGCGCCCGGCCTTTTTTTTTCTTTTGAGACAGAGTCTCGCTCTGTTACCCAGGCTGGAGTTCAGTGGCACAATCTCAGCTCACTGTAACCTCTGCCTCCCAGGTTCAAGCGATTCTCCTGCCTCAGCCTCTAGAGTAGCTGGGATTACCGGCACACACCACCACACCTGGCTAATTTTTGCATTTTTGGTAGAGATGGGGTTTTATCATGTTGGCCAGGCTAGTCTCGAACTGCTGACCTCAGGTGATCTGTCCACCTCGGCCTCCCAAACTTTGGGATTACAGGGGTGAGTCACCACACCCAGCCCAAACAAGCATTTAAATAAGGCAAGCTATCACTGGATTTCAGATTTACAGAACTACTTGGGTAGGCCAGAAAAACAGTCAACAAGTAGTTCCTAACAACAGAAAAAGGCTTTCTTTTTAAAAATAAGCATTAAAACCCCATCTGACTCCCTGCAAGGAATGGTTTTGTGTAGATAGTTTCCACCTGTCAACGCAAGGCAGGGGCCCAGCATCTCAGAGTAGGACAGGAGAATTACAAGGTGTGGCCAAAACTCTAGCCAATGTAGGAATACTAAGCCAGTGTCCCCTGGCCTCAGCTGTCATGGAGCCAGAGAATTCAAGGCTTGGGAAGGTAGCCCGATATACTACACAGGACTTCCCATGCCTTCTGCCCATTGTTCCAGTTCTTGTAGTCTGGAGCAACGCACAACATGTTCATTTCTTCATCCATCCACTCAATAACAGATATGGCCCGGGAGCAGTAGCTCATGCCTGTAATCCCAGCACTTTGGGAGGCCAAGGTGGGTGGATCCCTTGAGTCCTGGAGTTGGAGACCAGCCTGGGCAACACGGTGAAACCTCATCTCTACAGAAAATACAAAAATTATCTAGGTGTGGTAGCACGTGCCTGTTGTCCCGGCTATCGGGAGGCTGAGGCAGGAGAATCACTTGACCTGAGAGGCGGAGGTTGCCGTGAGCTAAGATCACATCAGTGCATTCCAGCCTGGGCAACCAAGTGAGATACTATCTCAAAAAAAAGAAAGTACCTGACACCCACTATCTGCCAGACACTGTGCTAAGTGCTAGAAATGTACTGGAGAACAAAATAGACAAGTTCCCTACCATAATGGACCTCACAGCTTGAAGGAATTGCCCAGAATGAGTCCAGGGTCTCCCCACAGTATATCAGCCCTTCAGATACTTAAAGATATTTCTCATGTTCTCTTTAACCTTCGTCTTCCCACTGTTTTCAATCATTTAGCATGACAAGCATAAAATTCTGGTTATCTGCGTCCATGTTATCCAGGTCCTTCATGGGTTAATGTCTAACACCTGAAAGAAATCCAATAGGCCAACACAAAGCATAATGGGTTGTAATGAAAGGATAACACTGTTGGAAGGATAAGAGATGATAAATGGCTGGGTCCATAGTAAGCACTTAGGAGATTATTTAGTGCTATGATTTTTTATTATTAGTATTCTGTCCAGAGGTAACAGAATTTGATGAAGATTCTGCCAGCTAGTCAAGTCACCTACACATAAGAGCAAAGCTATATTTCCTTCTTCTTTTTTCTTTTTCTTTTTTTCTGAGACGGAGTCTCACTCTGTCGCCTAGGCTGGAGTGCAGGGGCGTGATCTCAGCTCACAGCAACCTCTGCCTCCCGGGTTCTGGCGATTATCCTGCCTCAGCCTCCCAAGTAGCCAGGACTACAGTGCCTGTCACCACACCTGGCTGATTTTTTTTTTTCTTCTTTTAATGGGTCTTGCTGTGCGCAGAAGAAGGGCAGTGGGCATGATTCGTATCTGGACAACTGTGCCTCCTGCTGTAAGGATTCTCCGCCTCACTCCCAGAGTGCTGGGATTCAGACACCGCACCACGCCCGGCTATTTATTTTAGTAGAGAGATGGGATTTCACCATTGCCAGGCTGGCTTTGAACTCCTGACTCAGATGATCCATCTGCTCGGCCACAATGTGCTGGGATTACCAGGTATGAGCACGTGTCGGCTTTTTTTTTTGGGGAGTCTTCCTGTCACCCAGGCTGGAGTGCAATGGCGGGTCTCGGCCCCTCAGCTCCCGAGAGCGGGACTAGAGGGCGCTACACACTGCTATATAGTAGAGATGAGGTTCACTATGTTTGGCCAGTGGCTCAAACTCCTTACTGTTGATTGTTTTTTGGCTCACCTCCAAAGTGGGGATTAACAGGTGTGAGCACTGTGCCTGCTTTTTTTTTTTTTCCGAGGTGGAGTCTTGCTCTGTGGCCCAGGCTGGAGTGCAGTGGCGTGATCTTGGCTCACCACAACCTCCACCTCCTGGGTTCAAGCAATTCTCCTGACTCAGGCATCAATGTAGCTGGGATTACAGGCACGTGTGCCAGGACAACAAGCTAATTTTTGTATTTTTAGTAGACATGGGGTTTCACCATGTTGGCCAGGCTGGTCTCAAACTCCTGACCTCAGGTGATATGCCTGCCACAGCCTCCCAAGGTGCTAAGATTACAGGCATGAGCCATTGCGCCTGGCCGAGCAAGGCTATATATTCTTTCAAAGCACATTTTAAAAAATCACTTGAGAAGAAGTTTGAGACCAGCCTGGGCAACATGGTGAGACCCCATCTCTATCAAAATAAAATTTTATATTAGCCAAGCATGGTGGCATACACCTGTAGCTCCAGCTACTGGGGAGGATGAGGTAGGAGGATCACTTGAGCCCTGGAGGCCAAAGCTACTGAGATCATGCCATTGCACTCCAGCCTGAGTGACAGAGAGAAACCTTGTCTAAAAAAAAAAAAAAAATATAACAATTTTAAACAGAGAACCCCCGTGCCCTGTTACTTATATCAATGCAGTGGAGATCGTCATAGAATTTGTCCCTGCCAAGCCTTCCATGGATGAAGGCTTTGTCCTGCTGCACATCACATGACCATGCCGGGGAGATGGAGGATTTCCAAGTGTCTCTGGCTGTGACCAGGTCAGAGTCTCTAGAAAAGTAAATTCAATAACATCAAATGGCAAAACTATGAAACAAGAACACGAGAAATAGTCCCAAGCCTCTGTATCATGGCAGCTGTCCCATGCAGGAAGCAACTTTGGGATCATTCTCTCAACTCCCCAAGCCAATCCAGGCATCCCTCCTTTTACATCCTACAGGCTAGTGCGGTGGCTCACAGTTGTAATCCCAGCACTTTGGAGGCTGAAAGAGTAGATCACCAGAGGTCAGGAGTTCGAGGCCAGCCTGGCCAACATGGTAAAACAATGTCTCTACTAAAAATACAAAAAAAAAAAAAAAAAAGGTGCTGGGTGTGGTGCAGGTGCCTAATAATCCCAGCTACTGGGGGGTGGAGGCTAAGACAGGAGAACTGCTTGAACCCGAGAGGTGGAGGTTGAAGTGATCACACCATTGCATTCCAGCCCTGCGTGACAGAGCAAGAGTCTTGTCTTTAAAAAAAAAAAAAAAAAAAAAAAGGCCGGGCACGGTGGCTCAAGCCTGTAATCCCAGCACTTTGGGAGGCCGAGACGGGCGGGATCACGGAGGGTCAGGAGATCGAGACCATCCTGGCTAACACGGTGAAACCCTACTCCTACTAAAAAATACAAAAAACTAGCCGGGCGAGTGGCGGGCGCCTGTAGTCCCAGCTACTCGGGAGGCTGAGGCAGGAGAATGGCGGGAACCCGGGAGGCGGAGCTTGCAGCGAGCTGTGATCCGGCTCCTGCACTCCAGCCTGGGTGACAAAGCGAGACTCCGTCTCAAAAAAAAAAAAAAAAAAGTCTATAGAGCCTCTGCGTGCATGCTTCTAGGCTGGAGAGCCCACTACCAAACATGCCTGCCCCTTCTACTTAACACCTGGAAGTCATTTCTTGTTATGAAATAAAAACGATCTCCTCTTAACTTCAAACTAAAACTACCACAAAGTCAAAATGAATGAGTCTGTTTCTGTGACAGGCCTTCAGAGTCATCATCTTGTTACTCATTTATTTATTTATTTAATGTTTTTTTTTTTTTTTTTTTGAGACAAAGTTTCGGTCTTGTTGCCCAGGCTGGAACGCAATGGCACGCAATGGCACGATCTCAGCTCACTGCAACCTCTGTCTCCCGGGTTCAAGCGATTCTCCTGCCTCAGCCTCCTGAGTAGCTGGGATTACAGGTGCCCGCCACCATGCCTGGTTAATTTTTTGTATTTTTTTTTTAGTAGAGATGGGGTTTCACCATGTTAGCCAGGATGGTCTCGATCTCCTGACCACGTGATCTGCCCGCCTCAACCTCCCAAAGTGCTGGGATTACAGGCGTGAGCCACCGTGCCCAGCCCTTAATTTTTAGTAGAGAAGGAGTTTCAACATATTGGCCAGCCTGGTCTCAAATTCCTGACCTCAGATGATCCACCCGCCTTGGCCTCCCAAAGTGTTGGGATTATAGGCGTGAGCCACTGCACCCATCCCAAATTTTTAAATATTTTTAGTAAAGCCAAGGTTTCGCCATGTTGGCCAGGCTAGTCTCGAACTCCTGACCACAAGAGACCCACCCCCGCCCCGTCCGGGCCTCCCAAAGTGCTGGGATTACAGGCGTGAGCCACTGCGTCCAGCCATTTTTTTTTTTTTTTTTTTTATTTTACTTATTTTATGGTTTGTGTCTTGTTATTAGAATGTAAACACCATGAAGGCAGAGATTTTTTTTTTTTTTTTTGAGACGGAGTTTTGCTCTTGTTGCCTAGGCTGGAGTGCAATGGCATAATCTTGGCTCTCACTGCAACCTCTGCCTCCCAGGTTCAAGCAATTCTCCTGCCTCAGCCTTTCAGGTAGCTGGGATTACAAGTGCACACCACCATGCCTGGCTAATTTTTGTATTTTTAGTAGAGATGGGGGTTGACCATGTAGCCCAAGCTGGTCTTGAACTCCTGGGCTCAAGTGATCCACCCACCTCAGCCTCCCAAAGTGCTAGGATTGTAGGTGTGAGCCACTGCACCCAGCCTTATTATTATTTTTAGAGATAGGGTCTTGCTATGTTGTCCAGGCTGGATTGTAACTCCTAGGCTTAAGTGATCCTCCCACCTCAGCCTCCCAAGTAGCTGGGATTGCAGGCACACAGCACTTCACTCTGCTAGACTCTTCTGTTTTCAAGACAATATCCTTAATTGATTTGCTAGAGGGGTTGGGAAAGGGACTCCTGATGTGACAGTATAGGATAATGGTTAGAATATGGGATTTGGAGCTGAAACCAGGTTATTTCACTAAATAACTATGTGGCCTTTCACCAATTACTTATCTAAGCTCCAGTTTCTATAGCTGTAAAATAAGGATAAAGACAATACTGGCCAGGCACGGCGGCTCATGCCTGTCAAAGTGATTCTCCTGGGCCAGGCACCGTGGCTCACGCCTGTAATCCCAGCACTTTGGGAGGCCGAGGTGGGCAGATCATGAGGTCAGGAGATCGAGACCATCCTGACTAACACAGTAAAGTCCCATCTCTACTAAAAATACAAAAAAAATTAGCCTGGCATGGTGGCATGCGCCTGTAGTCCCAGCTACTCAGGAGGCTGAGGCAGGAGAATTGCTTGAAACCAGGAGGTGGAGGTTGCAGTGAGCCAAGATTGCGCCACTGCACTCCAGGCTGGGCAACAGAGCGTGACTTCGTCTCAAAAAAAAAAGACAATACCTACTTCTAAGAGCTGAGGTATGAATTAAATGAGATAATATACATAAAGCATGAAGGAAAAAAAGTACATAATACATGAGAGTTATGAATTTGATTATTATTATATTTTACTGCAGGCAACCCTTTTTATCTTCAAAGCTGAACATATATAGAATTCTGGAAAATTAATCATTTCTTATTACCAGAAAAGTCTTTTTTTTTTTTTTTTTTTTTTGAGACGGAGCCTCGCTCTGTCGCCCAGGCTGGAGTACAGTGGCACGATCTCGGCTCACTGCAAGCTCCACTCCCGGGTTCCATGACATTCTCCTGCTCTAGCCCTCCGAGTAGCTGGGACTATAGGCGGCCTGCCACCTCGCCCGGCTAGTATTTTTGTATTTTTAATAGAGATGGGGTTTCACCGTGTTAGCCAGGATGGTCTCGACCTCCTGACTCGTGATCCACCCACCTCGGCCTCCCCAAAGTGCTGGGATTACAGGCTTGAGCCACCGCGCCCGGCCACCAGAAAAGTCTTAAAGGAGTACTGCAAAAACTTTTTTTTTTTTGAGATGGAATGTTGCTCTGTCACCCAGGTTGGGAGTGCAGTGGTGTGAATCTTGGCTCACTGCAACATCTGCCTCCCGGTTCAGCAATCTTCCTGCCTCAGCCTCCCAAGTACAGGTGACCGCCACCAAGCCCTGGATAATTTTTTGTATTTTCAGTAGAAAACAGGGTTTCACCATGTTGTCCAGGGCTAGTTTGAACTCCTGACCTCAAAGTGATCCCTTGCTTTGGCCCTCCCAAAGTCGGCCTTCCCAAAGGGATTACAGGGCATGTTACCACCTATCGCGCCCTGGCCTGCAAAAACTCTTTGATAGCAAAGGGTCTGCCAAACAAGTTTCATTTGAATTACTGTTTATGGGTTGCTTGCTTGGTTGTTCCAAGGAGCCCCCGGTGTCCCAGGAATTAATTTAATTACCCTGAATTGGCCGGGCGCCGTGGCTCAAGCCTGTAATCCCAGCACTTTGGGAGGCCCGAGATCGGCGGATCACGAGGTCAGGAGATCGAGACCATCCTGGCTAACACGGTGAAACCCCGTCTCTACTAAGAAATACAAAAAATAGCCGGGCGAGGTGGGCAGCGCCTGTAGTCCCAGGCTACTCGGGAGGCTGAGGCCCGGAGAATGGCGTGAACCCGGGAGGCGGAGCTTGCAGTGAGCTGAGATCTGGGCCACCTGCACTCCAGGCCTGGGCGACAGCGGCGAGACTCCGTCTCAAAAAAAAAAAAAATAAAATAAAAATAAATAAAATTACCTGAAATGGGTTTTGCATAACAATGTTCCCTTATGATGTGTGTGGTTGTATATATTATAATATATATTTTTTTTTTAGGTCAGGGTCTCGCTCTATTGCAAAGGCCGGAGTGCCAGTGTGCAATTATGGCTACTCCAACCTCAAACTCCTTGGCTCAAGCGATCCTCCCAAGCCTCCTGAG